TACATATTTAAGCAAAAAAGGGGCCAGCAGATGGCGTAGTAGTTATATTGCTGGACTCCCATATGGCTGACCCTGGTTCGTGTCCGGACTCAGCGAATGAAAATCATGCTGGGCATGTGCGTGTGCCCAAGATCCCAGGAGGAGAATGGGGATTGTGCAATGGCCATCCCCCCTGGGAGGTAATTTCTCACTTTCTCTCTCACTGTCTGTGTCTCTGTCTCTCTCACTCTCTCTCCAGTGCCCTAAGGTGAAAACATCTTTCAAAAAAGCAAGCATGCAAGCAAAATAACCCCGCCCATCAAAACTTTTAGGATCAGCCAAACTATTAAGCAGAAAGGACAACATGTCAGATAATAAAATCTGAACACTTGTATTTCAAAACACTTCTAAAACACTGGGAAAAATTGAGTAGAATTAACATATGCTATATAATAATGTGCTTTGCTTTTGAGATAAATATTATATTTCCTTTGATTCTCAACATTCTTATAAGATAAATATTGTCCTAATGTTGCAAAAGGGGAAATGGAAGCCCAAGTAAAACACCTGAACATACGTAACTACAACTTAGCTATAACAAAGGCTTATAATATACAGCCAGTTTAGCAGACTACAAGTGTGTCAAAGCCCAAAGTCAAAACTCTTTAATGCCCAAACTCCTACTAGCATAAAAAACTGAGTTTGATAGTTCAGGCAGTTAAAATGCTAATTAATCTGTTCATCTTTATGCTATTCTTCATTAAGACTCCAAATGGATTCTGTTATGTGTCCAATGTTTAACATTAAAGTCAATCAAGACTCAGTTTATCTTGGTAATCTTTTTCATTGCCAAAAGGGAGAAGGAAAAAACACCCACCCACCCACCCCTCCCTCAATTGGTCATGGTCACACAGCAATCCCTTCTCCTCCATTTCTTCATCCTGACAGGATTTGGGACATACATGTATGTTTTTCAGCCACCAGGGCCAGGTTGTGAATCATAGTTGGCTATGTACGATCTGGGTTCCAGTGGCTAGGGGCCAGCCCTGGGCTTGCTTTATAAAATTTTGTTTTATACTTCACTTTCACACTTCATGCTAAACACCTTTATAAGCAGATGGAGGTGGAAGAGGGAGAATAAACAATAAATTTTTTTTGTCTGAAAACACAGTTTGAAGTGCTTGCAGAATGCTAAAATAGATGCCAGTAGGTGGTAAAATACACTCTGCAGTAGAGAGGGATTTGGGGGTAGAGTAAGACAGACAGAAAGTAATCTGACTTTGATGACCAAAGAAAGCATGTTTAGTGAGAAAAAACTGTAATTCATTTATGTCACAAATCAAAATGCTAACACTGGGCCAGCAGGTGGCATGGAGGTTAAAGTGCTATATCCCACATGGCTGAGTCCATTATTAGTCCTGGTCCCAGCAGCTTGAAAATCATGTCGGGTGTGTGTGCCTGTGTGCCCAATATGCTGAGAAGAGAATGGAGAAGAGATTACTGAGTGACCATTCCTCCTGTGGGGGCAATTTTTCACTTTCCCTCTTGCTCTCTGATAACCACATGCACCCTATAGCAAAAAAGCAACAACAAAATAATAATAAATAAAACATAAAAAGTGCTAACATTAGGTGACTATATTTGACCCTCAGTCAGCTGGACTTATGAGTTTGTATACATAACAGTATTTAATTATGTCTTAAATATACAGCCAGCCCTCCACAACCAAGAGTTCCACATTTACAGCTTCAACCAATACTGGATTCAAGCAACCAGGAATGAAGTTAGATTGCAACCACTAAGGAAAAATGTTATATATCGCTGCTGACCTGAACTACTTAGATTTCCACTGTGTCTGATGGCTGACCCAACAAGAAAAAGAGACCTTTCTTGTCATTATTCCCTAAACAATACAGTATAACTATTTACATAACATCTACACAGTAGTAGGTATTATAAGTAATTACAGTTGACTTAAGGTATATGGGAAGATATATATAGGTCACATTAAAATATTATGCCATTTTGTATAAAAGACTTGGGCCATTCCTGGATTTTGGTATCTGCAGAGGGTCCAGAATCCATTCCTCCCCACTCTCCAAGGAATTATAATGTGGGCATACCTGGGGAAGAGAGGGAGGGCGATTTTCTCACTTTCCCTTTCTCTCTCTTTCTGACTCCTTAAGCATAAAGCCCTATGGCAACATATCTATTTCAAAAAAAAGAAAAGAAAAAAAAAACGTTGAGTTGATGAAGGGTTTTCAAAAAGTGAATGGAAAATATGTATCATAAAAAAGAAAACTAGGCATGGATTTCAAAAAATGTTTTGAAATAAATTCACTTTAAATCCATTTTTCTGGGTCTACCAGGTGGCGTGATGGTTAAGGCACTAGTTTCCCACATGCTCAATCCCAGTTGGAGTGCTGGACCCAGTGGCTTTTAACTCACACATGTTCATGACTGCGCAAAATCCTGAGAGGAAGATAGAGAAGATACCCCCACATGGGGGTGATTTCTCACTTTGTCTCTCTGTCTCTCTGGCAAGTGTACAAGTGCACATACCCTACAGCAAAAATCTCTCAGAAAAAAAAAAAATCCATTTTCCCACCAACTTTATTTATTATTTTTAAAGAATTATTTTATTTAACTTTATTTTAATTTGACCAGAGAGACACAGAGCAAGAGAGAAAGAGAGGGAAAGTAAGAAAGTAAGCTGCCAGGTCCAGGTCACTAGCCATGTGGGAGTCCAGAGCCCTTAACCACCACACAACCTGCCAGCCCCTCCACCAACTTTATTTTGAAGTCCGCCCCTATTCTGGTACAAATGATTTCAAAATCCATACAAAATTTTTTCACAATATGCGATTTCCATGACCTTTTTGAAGTCTCCCATAACCACCTAACTTTCTCTCTCCTATCCTTCCATACACTTAGGAATTCTGTGAGCTAGGAACTGTTATTTTCTCAAAAAAAAAAAAAAAAAAAAACGTGAGAACTGAACTTAAAAAGGGGGCACCAGGGCCAGTAGGTAGCATGGGTTAGGGCACTGGATTCCCACATAGACAAGTACAGTTTGAGTCCTGGACTCTGAAAATCATTCCCATTCTCTGCATGCATACACAGGTGCCTGCATGCAGAGAAGCCTGAGAAAGAAGAGATTGCAGAGTGGCCATGACTTTGGGGGAAGGGAGTGGAAAAGAGGGTATTTCTCACTTTCCCTCTCTGTCTCTACAGCAAATAAAAATTTTAAAAGGGGGTACCAATCTACCCAGTCACACACTGTTTTCAGTCTGATAGAAAATCACTTTTTTAATAAGCATTATGCACAAACTTCAAAAAGCTTTTTTAAAATGCAATTAAAGTATGGGTCTATTCTGGTGCAAAAAATCCTTAGGTTGCTTTCTCATAAAAAGCATTTTGGGGACCTGCAGTTAGCGTAATGGCTATGTCGCTGGACTCCCATGTAGTTGACTGCAGTTTGAGTCCTGGACCCGGTGGCTTAAACTCACGCCGGGCATGTGTGCATGCATACCCAAGATCCTGAGAGGAGAATGGAGAAGGGATTATGGCGTGGCCGCCCCCCCCCTCCCCCCGTGGAGTGATTTCTGCCTTTCTGTCCCTGAGGGCACGTGCCCTATAGCAAAAACCTCTCTTAAAAAAGAGGAAAAAAAAAAAAAAGAAGAAGGAATTGTCCACAAAATTGTAAAAGACCCCTGGCATACTAGTGATCTCCTAACTTTGTTGTACTTGCTCTCCTGCAGAAAAAGAAATTTTGACTGCAGATGCCAACATAAAATTATTACTCTGTATATTTCACACAGTAACAGAGATAAAGTAAATCAAAGGAGAAATCCTACCGTGCTCCCCTCCCACTCCCACACTCATGAAACTAGCGACAGGCCACTGCAGGACACTTGTTAAGTCTACGCAGCAGCCTTTTAAGTCAGGGGATATGAACTACCTTTTCTCGGAAAGTACACCACAGATTAGTTTGGTTCAAAATACTAGTTTTTAATCTCTTACTCATTAAGTATCCAGACTACGAAAAGCTCACAAAACTCCCGTCTTGAAGTTTAAACACGAAATAGTTGCTCTTTCTAGGAATCATCAGGGCATCACCTCAAGTCCTATGGATCCCACAATCTTCTCGCTACACTTGAGCCCCTTTTTCCGCAATTCTCACTCGGGATTTCTCCCCCATTCCATGGCCACAAAACACTAGAGGCAAGAAATGCCATCAAAAGAGATTCAAACATCACGGTTTAATTTTTCTAGGTAATACTGTCTTGTGTTTGCATGGAACTGGGATTAAACGACAAATCCGATCTAAGCGATAGTTGTCTGTGCACTTAAGAAGACTTAAGTTGGTGTCAGCGAGGTATCATCAGGTTCATACCAGAGCCCAATTTCCGACTCCAGCTTCAGCTTCGACCCCGACCCCTCCTCAATCTAATCGCAGAAGCCCCGGGGCCGTCCGGGGACCGGCGCCTGGGGAAGGGCCCGCGTAGCTGGCCAAGTTTCTCGCGGCTGAATGTGCCGCCAGCGGACAGCGCGAGAACATCCCGCCTGAAGGGCCAAAATCTCGGTTCTGGGCCCGCGGGGGCAACCTGGGACACCGCCAGAGCTCTGCCGACCCTGCAGCTCCCAGGTGGACTGGAGGGCGCCAGCAAAGAGCAGCCGGCCGGGTAAGGATCTCAGAGCCAGGGAGAGCGACGGCGCGCGCCCTCTGCATACCTCCAACAAGTCGCAATTTCCCGAAGAAACCTGATCGACGGGGCTGTCACGATACGACCCGACGCTAAAGCCACCCGGAGGGAGCCTCGGCGTCAGCTGGCCGCCGC